TCTACAAAGTTTTCTAATAAAATAAACTATTCAGTATACAATTAATTAATTAATTAAATTTAAAACATCATTTAAATTTGTGTAATTTCCTGATTTGGGGTAAATTTTTAAGTGGGTGGTGGGTAGTGATTTTTTTTTTTTGCTTTCTTTTTGGCAGTGCCTACTATACACTAATCCCTCATACAAATACTGCATTTTCTGTATGAAGTTTTATCCACTAAGCACAATTGAAATTATATGTGAAAATGATGTAGAGAAATGAAATAAATATCCTTTTGTCTCAAACAAATATAACAGGATTAAAAAAATGATATTCAGATTCGACTGAGCCCAATCATCTTTCATATTTTGTGTATATTTTCATTTAAACTGAAAGCAAACGTGATGTAATGTCAGAGGCAGTTAAGGAATGCTCTTAAACAGAGACAGGCAGACGGAAGAAGAAAGAAAGAAAAACAAGCCTGATGTTACTTCATTCATTAATGCCCACAGACTGGCTAACATAACGAGGGGTGTATTCCGAAGAGAACTTTACCTTTTCCCCAACATGTTACTCCTCTAAAAACCATTCAATACCTGGTGCTTTTCATGTACAGCAAAATTTTCCATTTTTGACGATCTTCTTTGGCTAATATTTCCTTATTGCATCTGATGCTTTGTTTTAAATATATAAATATTTAAATCGAGGTAGAGGGTTACAAAGTAAGAGGCACAGATTATGTGGATAGTTGGGAAGATAATGATTAACCCTAGACTTATAGATTATATTGATCAGGAAAACATCCTCTCGTGAGTTGCTTCCACAGAGCAGTGGTTTTCGGGGGAGAAGCTACTTGAGTGGAACTTACATATCACAAATGGAATATGGAGAGAATGAGGTTGGTTCACTACAATGTGTGTGTGGTTTGGAAGGTTCTAGTCATGAAGGTTAGAACTAGTGGAAACTAAGGAATATAGTTCATCTGAGCACTTGCCATGGATAGAGCAGCGAGAGGCTTGTTACATCTTGTCTGTGAGAGGGGTTGCATGGTGGAAATTTGTCACCCACAAAAGACACTATTGGACTCTGTTGAGACTGGAAAGTGAAGATTGGGCAGCTCCTGACAAATATGACAGTAGTACTCTATTTTAGGGTTGATCTGGGTTGGGTATGGTTTGAGTTTGAGACCCAATGGTGAGGGAACATTGATTCATCAAGACTGGATTGAACGGCGATGATGGAATACTAGTTTGGTTTTTGAGACATTTGATTTTCTCCAACTGAGATGTTGAGGAAAACTGAGCTCGATCGGGTTAGAGATCAGCTACCAATCTCTGGTCATCATGAGTTTTGCAGGTGCACCCATATATCATTGTATCATCAGCATAGATATTCACAAATACCAAAGTATACTCTTAGGCAGATCAGTTATATAAATTAAAAAGAGAATTGGTCCAAGAATCGAGCCTTGAGGAATGCCTGTGTTCATTGCTAGGGCTCCAGAGAACTGGCTGTTAACAATCATCATCAGTTAGGAAGGACTTTATTATTAAGAAGACATCTCCAGTGATTCCATAGCTAGAGATCTTGTGTAGCAATCCTTTGTATCACACCTTGTCAAAGGCCTTCAAAATATCTAATGCTATGGTTCTTGAGATGTATTTGTTGCCTCACTGATTCTGTGAGTAGTGATAGGACATCAGCATTGGATCAGGCTGATCAAAACGTTTACTGCTTGTCATGTGTTCTTGTTGATTATAGTTTGAAAAAGCTTGCTAATGACATGGAGGAGACTGACGATGATTCTATACTGAGAGGAGGATGAGCGCTTGCCCACGTCCTTGAAAATCTGGCATACGCTTGACATTTCTCACAGACTGAGGGAAGGATTTCTCCTTCAAACAGTGGATAAATAACTTTACTAAGATTGGAGATAATTCCAGGTTGATATTCTTAAGGTCAACCACTGGCATTTTGTCTGGGCCAGTGACTTTCTTAGGGTCAAGGCTATTGATAAGCCTTAAGACTTCCTGGGCTGTGATAAAAAATATTACTGAGATTGTGCTTGGTAAGACAAGGTAAGTCGGGAATATGACCTTGGGACCATTTATAATAGTGAGCACAGCTGCTTATCCTCTATTCATAATTTGGTCAGTGATGTTCCAGAACTCCCAGGATCCAATGTGTTTGATTTCAATGTTGGCCTGGACTGTTTGTGCATTACTACACTTTTCATTTTCCAGAACTGTCTTGCAGCGTTTGCAAACAGTTCTGAATGCAGAAATAGTCAAACAACACTGCTTGTAAGAATCCAGTTTAGAGATGATAGCAGAAACCAGAGATCGAGTTATATGCATATTAGACAGTAAAGACTCAGTTCTAAGTGGAAAGTCAGGAAAAGATACTTCAGATGATTCAAGAGTAGAATTTGGAGAGAATTTACGAGCAAAACATTCTGCTTTCTCAACAGATGATAAGATCTCAATTTGAATGAAGAGAGAAGGGATAGAAGATTTACTCTTATTTAACACACTATTACAGAGCCACCAGTAGTCATGAGAACCAAACTTGTTAGAGGCTGTACAGTGCCTCATTCTGTCAGTAAACTAAGACCTAAACACTTTGAACACATGCTTACAATTATTACAAGCAGATCCAAAGAGACGTCTGTTGTGATTGAAACTATCATGCTAGTAAAGCAGGAAAAAGTGATTTTTGTGAACTATAGGAAGAGAAAATTGTGCTTTCATATAAAAAAAAACACGTGTGTTGGTGTTGGAACAAAAATACATGCCGTTTTTAAATGAATTCAAGAGACAATATTTAGATATTTGTATGCAGAGTTATTCAACCACATATGTGCCATTATTTTTCATTACATTTGACCATCTTTGAGGCAGCTTCATGATTCTGTTTAGCACTCAGAAAGCTGGGTGTTGAATTAGTCTAAGGGGTTTATAGGCTTCCAGTTTTTAGTATTTTATAGGGATCAAAATAAGTGGTGCAAGGTCAAGTGAATATGGTGGTTGTAGTAAGACATACCAACCATGTTGAACCAACCTTTTAAAGGTCTATAAAGAAATGTTGATGGAAGAAGACACACTTCCAGTTAGTAAATTCCAGACATATTTCATCAATTGCTGCTTTTAATTGGTTCAATTAGGAACAGTACTTCTCTGAATTCAACACCTGATTTTGCGGAATCTCCTTCCAGTCCTACTAGATACTCAGTATCAACTTCTTTGGATGCAAACCTGTGTTGCAGCGGGCCGAGAGGTGTGAGTGCCAATCGACCGTACAACTAAAATAGGGGACACAAAGGCAAGGAGATGGCAATAGCAAAGAAGGGTGACAAACGCAGATGGTCCGTTGTAGACGATGGAAATCGTGTCTTTATTTGCGAACGGTGGATGGTAAGACGACAGAGGTCGTTTGTTCGGGAACGGTGTCCGGGCGTTAACGGGCGCTGGACGTCAGTGGGCACTGGATTAGATCGTCAGCGGGTGCTGGAATAGGTAGCGGGACGTCAGTAGAGCGCCGCAGGGGTGAGCTGGAGGCCGCTGGAAGCTGTTGGGGTGAGCTGGAAACTGCAGGAGTGCTGGAAACTGTCCTCGTCTTCATATGGACAGCCAGGTTGTAATGTGCCGAGAAGTCGGCACCGAGCAAGGGTGTCTTGACGTCAGCTACAGTGAATGACCACTTGAAGTCGCGCCTGAGGTTGATATTCAAAGTAAGTTCCTTGTTCCCATAGGTCTCTATGGTGGAGCCGTTTGCCGCTCGAAGTTGGAATGGGGTGGGTTTCAAGGCGGATCTGTTGGTGGGTGGTATCACGCTGATGGCTGCGCCAGTGTCAACTAGGAATTTGAGGCCATTGTTACGGTCCCACACGTAGAAAAAACGACTGTGTGAGCGAGTACCGACAGGGATCGTCGTCGCTGCCTGTCGGTCTATTCGTTTCCCTGGGCCTTATTGCGTCTGCAGGGAGGGTGGCACTTGTCGGGCTCGGTCACCGAAGGTTTGGTGGTACCAACATTCGTCCACACTGTTTCTCCGTCCTGGACTTGAGCTGCGGGTACGGCTTCGATTTCGCGTGCGTGGTGCTGGGCTTCGCTGCCTCCGGCATAGGGAGAGTTTCAGGTCTCTCAACTCTGCGCGTAGCTGGGTCATCTCCTCTTCGAGGCGTTGTGTGTGGTTTCCGTGGCTCTCAACCTGGTGAACTTTTTTGGTGAGCCTGGGAGTATATTTTGTCGGCTGAGTCGGCCACAACGTCAAGGGCGTCTCTACTGGTACCAGGGCTAGAACTTGTGTTATATTCGGTGGTAACCGATCCATCCATAGCCCTCGGAGGATGGGTTCTGCCATGATGTTGTTCCCGAGGCGGCTCTTCATCAAGCGGAGGAGCTGGGATGGTGTCCTATCGCCGAGAGACACATTAGAGAATAAGTCTCTGATGAGGTCTTCGTCCGAACGTCCAGTTCGTTTGAGGATGGCTTCTTTGAGGCAGGTGTATGGGAGTTGGTCCGGAATATTGAGAAGGATGTCTTCCACTTCTTCCACGATTGATGCTGGTAAGGTTTGTACCACGGAGGCGTATTTAGTGTCCTGTCGTGTGACCTTTCGGGCTGAAAATATCGCCTCAAGTTGAATAAACCATCTCCTGGTGTTGATCGAGTTGTATGGTGGTAGTTGGATCAGGGCGGCTGATGTGTTGATTTCCGGTTCGGTGTGTTCCGCCATCTTCTCTGCTAGCCGTTTGCCTGTGTCCATAAATCACGTCGGGGTCACCACTTGTTGCAGCGGGCCGAGAGGTGTGAGTGCCAATCGACCGTACAACTAAAATAGGGGACACAAAGGCAAGGAGATGGCAATAGCAAAGAAGGGTGACAAACGCAGATGGTCCGTTGTAGACGATGGAAATCGTGTCTTTATTTGCGAACGGTGGATGGTAAGACGACAGAGGTCGTTTGTTCGGGAACGGTGTCCGGACGTTAACGGGCGCTGGACGTCAGTGGGCACTGGATTAGATCGTCAGCGGGTGCTGGAATAGGTAGCGGGACGTCAGTAGAGCGCCGCAGGGGTGAGCTGGAAACTGCAGGAGTGCTGGAAGCTGCAGGAGTGAGCTGGAAGCGGTAGGAGTGAGCTGGAGACTGCTGGAAGCTGCAGGAGTGCTGGAAGCTGCAGGAGTGAGCTGGAGGCTGCAGGAGTGCTGGAAGCTGCAGGAGTGAGCTGAAAGCTGCAGGAGTGCTGGAAGCTGCAGGAGTGAGCTAGAGGCTGCAGGAGTGCTGAAAGCTGCAGGAGTGGGCTGAAAGCTGCAGGAGTGGGCTGGCGTCTCAGAGGGAAGGCAGTAGCAGAGAGTGAAGCGAGTGGGGCCTCGAAGAGTGGTGATCGAATGACTTTCGGAAGTTAGCCCTGAAAAGGACTGTTTGAACAACTGCTGCTGATGATGCTGGGTCCCGTCAGCTGCTGGGCTCGGTCGACTTGACTGGGCGCGTCAAAGTCGCGATTCAGGAAGGCTCCCTGCTCCCTGGCCGGCGGTATTTACTTAACTCCCACGGGGTCAAGATGTGACACAAGGTCGTTTTTCGTGGGAAACCCAAGCGTTTCCGCATAGGGTCACTGGTCAAAGATTGGTCATAACATGTCCAAGCTGGTCAAAGCTTAGTCAATGTTTTGGCCATAACATGTCAAAGCTGGTCAAAACTTAGTCAAGTTTTGGTCCAAGTTGGTCTTGGCTTGTCTTAGCAGGTCCTGATATGGTCCAAACTAGACTTTGCCATGGTCGCAACCCAGCCCGAAGGCCGGTCTGCTCCCTGGCCGGCGGTATTTACTTGACTCCCACGAGGTCAAGATGTGACACAAGGTCGTTTTTCGTGGGATTACTTGACTCCCCCGGGGTCAAGACGTGACACAAGGTCGTTTTTCGTGGTAAAAACCTAAGTGTTTCCGCATAGGGTCACTGGTCAAAGATTGGTCATAACATGTCCAAGCTGGTCAAAGCTTAGTCAAGTTTTGGTCATAACATGTCCAAGCTGATCAAAGCTTAGTCAAGTTCTGGTCTTGGCTTGTCTTAGCAGGTCCTGCTATTGGTCCAAGATGTGACACAAGGTCGTTTTTCGTGGGAAACCCGAGCGTTTCCGCATAGGGTCACTGGTCAAAGATTGGTCATAATATGTCCAAGCTGGTCAAAGCTTAATCAAGTTCTGGTCCAAGTTAGTCTTAGCTTGTCTTAGCAGGTCCTGATATGGTCCAAACTAGACTTTGCCATGGTCGCAACCCAGCCCGAAGGCCGGTCTGCTTCCGTGGCCGGCGGTATTTACTTAACTCCCACAGGGTCAAGATGTGACACAAGGTCGTTTTTCGTGGGAAACCCGAGCGATTCCGCATAGGGTCATTGGTCAAAGATTGGTCATAACATCTTCAAGCTGGTCAAAGCTTAGTCAAGTTCTGGTCCAAGTTAGTCTTAGCAGGTCCTGATATGGTCCAAACTAGACTTTGCCATGGTCGCAACCCAGCCCGAAGGCCGGTCTGCTTCCGTGGCCGGCGGTATTTACTTGACTCCCACGAGGTCAAGATGTGACACAAGGTCGTTTTTCGTGGGATTACTTGACTCCCACGGGGTCAAGACGTGACACAAGGTCGTTTTTCGTGGGAAAACCCAAGCGTTTCCGCATAGGGTCACTGGTCAAAGATTGATCATAACATGTCCAAGCTGGTCAAGGCTTAGTCAATGTTTTGGTCATAACATGTCCAAGCTGGTCAAAGCTTAGTCAAGTTCTGGTCTTGGCAGGTCCTGATATTGGTCCAAGATGTGACACAAGGTCGTTTTTCGTGGGAAACCCAAGCGTTTCCGCATAGGGTCACTGGTCAAAGATTGGTCATAACATGTCCAAGCTGGTCAAAGCTTAGTCAATGTTTTGGCCATAACATGTCAAAGCTGGTCAAAACTTAGTCAAGTTTTGGTCCAAGTTGGTCTTGGCTTGTCTTAGCAGGTCCTGATATGGTCCAAACTAGACTTTGCCATGGTCGCAACCTAGCCCGAAGGCCGGTCTGCTCCCTGGCCGGCGGTATTTACTTGACTCCCACGAGGTCAAGATGTGACACAAGGTCGTTTTTCGTGGGATTACTTGACTCCCACGGGGTCAAGACGTGACACAAGGTCGTTTTTCGTGGGAAAACCCAAGCGTTTCCGCATAGGGTCACTGGCCAAAGATTGATCATAACATGTCCAAGCTGGTCAAGGCTTAGTCAATGTTTTGGTCATAACATGTCCAAGCTGGTCAAAGCTTAGTCAAGTTCTGGTCTTGGCAGGTCCTGATATTGGTCCAAGATGTGACACAAGGTCGTTTTTCGTGGGAAACCCGAGCGTTTCCGCATAGGGTCACTGTTCAAAGATTGGTCATAACATGTCCAAGCTGGTGGTCAATGTTTTGGCCATAACATCAAAGTGGTCTTGTCAAGTTTTTTGGTCAAGTTAGTCTTAGCAGGTCCTGATATGGTCCAAACTAGACTTTGCCATGGTCGCAACCCAGCCCGAAGGCCGGTCTGCTCCCTGGCCGGCGGTATTTTACTCCACGAGGTAATGTCCCACAGGTCGGTGGGATTAGGCTCCCCAGGGTCAAGACGTGACACAAGGTCGTTTTTCGTGGTAAAACCTAAGCGTTTCCGCATAGGGTCACTGGTCAAAAGATTGGTCAAAGGCTTAATCAAGTTTTGGTCATAACATGTCCAAGCTGATCAAAGCTTAGTCAAGTTCTGGTCCAGGTCCTGCTATTGGTCAAGATTAGGTCGTTTTTTGTGGGAAACCCGAGCGTTTAGCAGGTCCTGATATGGTCATAACAAAGCTGGTAGATCAAGTTTTGCCATGGTCGCATATGGTCCAAACAACCCGAAGGACGGGTCTGCTTCCGTGGCCGGCGGTATTTACTTAACTCCACAGGGTCAAGATGTGACACAAGGTCGTTTTTCGTGGGAAACCCGAGCGTTTCCGCATAGGGTCACTGGTCAAAGATTGGTCATAACATGTCCAAGCTGGTCAAAGCTTAATCAAGTTCTGGTCCAAGTTAGTCTTAGCTTGTCTTAGCAGGTCCTGATATGGTCCAAACTAGACTTTGCCATGGTCGCAACCCAACCCGAAGGACGGGCTGCTTCCGTGGCCGGCTAAAAACCGCTGCGAAGTCTCGGGCATCTAGATATGACGGTTCATACAAGAGAAGCGGTGACGCTAAACAAGTAAATGAATATAATTAATTTCGGGCCGTATTAATTACAGTCAAAAGTGTGTTCGGTGTTTGTTGACTGTATTTAAATTAATTTTGGTTCGAAATTTAAGGTCTTTTATTTTTGTTTAGTGGCGAATATTGAGTTTTGTGTGTTTCTGTCAGTTTGAAAGGATGTCGTTGCTATTTTTAGCACGCAAGGGTCGTGACCTTTCTCTACCGGCAGGCATATCCGGGGTTGTTTAAGAAAAGGTGGGAGTGGTGTTTGGGCACACTGCGACACCTGCTTTTGGAAGACATAATGGTGGCCCATTTCCTTTTTCCCATGACCTTTTTTGCTCCCTAGTGTTGTAAACAATCCATTTTTCATTGCCTGAGATCGTTCTTTTAAAATATGGGTCATTTGCATTGCACTAGATTAGATAAATGCAGATGGAAATGTCATCTTTCAAAATATGTCAAATTTCATGCACAAATGAATACAAATCATGTGTTTAAACACCACAAACTTTTACTCGAATCTTGTGTGTGTGTGTGTGTGTGTGTGTGTGTGTGTGTGTGTGTGTGTGTGTGTGTGTGTGTGTTTGAGATTTCTTTTTAATATGTAGGTTTTTATAAAAAAAATTTTTAAGCTATTTATTAACTTAGGTAAATTAAAGAGTAAATCCTAAAGAAAAATGATTTCCTTATCTTGACTGAGGAGAAAAGTTTTTAAAAAAATAAATAAATCTAGAAAATTGTTTGTGCTAACATATTTTTTTAAGGTCATATTGTCTTTAAAATAATTCAGTTTTTTATTGATTTTATTTTCCCATGCTTAACCAGACATAAAAATAGGCTGTGTATTGTTATTTATCATTGGAGCCACGTTGACTAAGATACTATGATAGAAGGAAGAAAAAAAGAAATAGAGAGAGAGAGAATAAAAGGATAGGCAACAGTAGAGAAAAAGATTATAGGAATACAGGAAATTTTAAAGAGAGAGAGAGACAGAGTGTGGGAAATGAGAGGAGGATGGAAAAGTGACTTAAAAGTTAATGGAAGCATTGGGGAAGAAATCATTTTGATTAGTTGCATGCAAAATCATATGTAATTGTTGTCAGTTTTTTGTTTAACTTTCTCAATTTCTCTCATAGGGAAAAAGGGAAGGTGATAGAGTATAATAAAGAATGAATTGAAAAGTTGACTAATAAGAAGCATGTGGAATGAGTAAAAGTTGGGAGTAAAAAGTGGACAATGTATCTCAGATATTTATGAAGTCATATGCAGATAGTGTCAAAGTAAGTGATGTAAAATGAAGATATTGACTCTATTGTATTCACAACATAGTTTCATTTCACATAAACATTATGCAGATTAGCTAACATAAGACAAACATTAATAAATAATAATAGAAACTTTATTGTTGTACTACTTTAGTTACTTGGTATGTTTGTTTATAAATATAATTTAGTACTTACTTATTCCACACAATAAACTTTTTTCTTTTTCAGAAAAAAATAGTCATATTTGCCTTTGATAATTTAAAATTAAGCAATCAGCTCTAATTTGTTAATTAACTGACAACAGTATGTAAGTACAAGAATATTTATCTTGCTCTCTACTTATTCTGTAGGCACAATTACACATTCATGTGTTACTAGAAAATGAAAATATTTTTGTAGCTAAAATTTATTTATAGCATAAGATATTTCAGTTTTTCACCCCAAAAGGTCAAAATCCAGTGAAAATTCTCATTTCTTGTCTTTTATAATCAATGATTATTTTCATATTTAATATTTACTTATGTGTCAATCTAAAAATTGGTCATTGTTTATCATTTTCATTACTTCATCATTTGTGTTAATGATTGATAATTGGTTTAAGATAAATGTTTTCATATTAGCAAAGGATTTTCTAAGCCTAACCTTAAAAATGCTAATTTGTTTTGATATTACTTTCACAAAAAACAAAATATTTTGTAGGGATTGTTTGCAAGAGACATCTTGAAGATAAATTATACCACTTTTTTATTTCATTTACAATTCTACATGTATAGAATATAAAAAAATAATTACAGTAATGTTATAAGCCTGATTCTACAGTCATGATTAAAATAGAAATATTTTTGCAAACATATTTAATTTCCTGGTAAGTATATGAATACATATAAATATAAATTGACACAGGTATTCACATTGAACAGTTGGCACTTGCACATTTGTGACCACTTTTTTATTTTTTAATATATTTCATATATACATTTAATTTCTTTTTTCATTTACAAGCACCCACACACACATTATCCAAGTGAGAAATAATGAGTATCCATTGTCTCAATATTTAAAATTTACCCTTTTTACCTCTTTTGTTTTTCATCCAGATCCTTTTAGCAAAACAAACTAGAAAGTTATATACAAAACATTCAGTTGCAAAACAAATTGCTAAAAACTGGCAAGAGCAATTACCTACTATGCTAGTAATCCAGTATTATAAGATAGTATTGTTGCAGTTACAATTCACTAATTTATTTTCTATGCTTTGTGGTTTAGAAAAAGAACACTATACAATTCATAAATTACACAAAAATATTTTTACTTAAACTTTTAGGCTCTGATTTATTTACTTACAATTTTCATAAGCTTGATGAAAAAGCAGACTGATCTTATCACTCTGTATATGACTTCATTTAATGTAGAAAAAGTTTATCCTACCACTGAAGTTGATGCTTAATTTGAATTTCATAGTTGTGTTGTCATATTCTGCTATGGCAACAGAAAACACCTTTGAGTGAAATTAACAATAAGGTTACTGCAATTGAGAGGCCTTGAAAAAGAATTCAGTAGAAAAGGAAGTAATATTAATAATGTAAAGTGCTAAAGCTTAATTTTTAACATCAGTACAAAACCATGTTTCTTACAAAAATTAAGCATCTTTCTTCTCATTTGCCATTATTTTCTATTCAACTTTTGTATTTTAACATTTACTTTTGACATGATGAGAGAAAGGCAAGGAAAAATGGCACTTTATATTTTTAAGTATACAACATTATAATTTCAATGTTTTGTGTGTCTATCATTAACTGGCGTATGTTGCATATATTGGCACAAACCAAAAAAAAGAGAGAAATGTTCAAAATATTACCACAATATTTTACAAAATTTTTTGCTTATAAAATTCATATTGACTTTATTCATGATTATGAAAAGAAGACATAAATCTTTTTGATGTTATGAACCACAAATAATGACTCCATGTGAATATGTAAGTGTATTTTGGGAATGTTGCTATTTGTGATGCACCAAATCATCCAATGTAATCATTTCAAAAGCCATTTTTGTAACATCATAGTGCTGGATGACAATAATCTCTTCTTTCAAAGGATCATCATCAGGCATGACAAATACTTGAAATAGAAAAGGATGACTTATCCAATGGTCACTGGGTTTGAAATTTTCTGCAGAGCAATACCCATCAAAAGCATTGAACAGCATTTGAAGATATGCCTGTATTGTGGTAGCAACAACTGAGATCAGATGCTGGTCTGTTTCAACAACTTCCTTCAAAGATGGAAATCAGAGACCAAATTTCTTTTCTCAATATTATTCATCCACAGTAGGAATCTTAAATTTATAAATGACCAACTTTTCTTGAACAATAACAATGTTTGTATTACTTCCTTGAAGGGAAATGTTCATTTTATTTAATAGAGAAAAAAATTAAAAAACTTAAAAAATTTTTAAACTTATTTCCGTCACCACGAATGAAATATTTTTTTAAGAGTTATCTCCCTTTCTACATTGTCTCATAATCTCGAAAATTTGACAAACAAAATTAATTAATTCGTTGCTCTCTTCCATAACGTGTTCGAATGGTGATCGAAAAGGATTTTTTGGTTAGTAATGATAAATGATTTACTGATTTCAATGGATGTAAAGATTTATTTTATGTAAGTACCTCCAAAAAAGTGATACCTTATAATATATATTTTGAAAAATTAAAACTATTCCCTGAAGCTTTTATTTTAGTTTTAATTCCAAGCAAATAGATTGATTAAATTTAATATTTCCAATAAGCAGAATTTAAACTGATTGGAATCTTTTTCCTACTTCAACAAAATCAATGAATTCATCCATATTGACAAATCTATCAGCACAAACTACTCCTCTTTATTAAAAAAAATCTTTCAAAAATAAAATATAGTTTTCTGAAACATTTTCTAAAATTTAATTAATCAAAATTGAAACAAATATTACTTTTAGTTTAAAAAAGCCTCTTTTTTAAGAAGGAGTGGGAGTTTTTTGATGTGTTTAAGGATTTATTAACAGCTGGATGTTTGTTAAACTTAAATGATGAGGACATAATTTAGAAAAAAATTTACATGAATACATGAACTCCTTTTTTATATAATTTTTTCAACTATGCAGTTATCTTTAAAATTGTAAATATTTTAATCATTCTAAAGTTTTAGTGAATTTTAAGTACTTTGACTTTATAGTCTAACTTATGAAGATGCTCACTGAGAAAATGTTAGAAAATTAAGGAATTTTAAATTTATTGTAAATACCTCTCTTATTTTCCGATAATGTGTATGGATGCCTGTATCTACAAAAATTGACACATTTATGCACATATAAAATAAATTCAAAATTCTTTTTAAGATATTGGGGGTTGTTGAATTGTAGTGAGCCATTCCATTTATGATTAGTAAATACAATTTTAATTTAATAACAATAACAACAAATTAATACAGATTAAAGATTTAAAAATTTATAAATTATTTTAATTAAAATTAAAAAAAAAAAGGAAACAATTCTTCTAAAAATTCATTATTCATTGAAAAAAATTCTTAAGAATAGTGTAAAATATTAAAGCAATTAAAAGCTTTTCTAATTAATAAAAAGATTTTTTGGGAGAGAAGGAAGAGAAAACCTCAGATCTCTTAACCTAGTATTTTAAAGTTGCAAATGTAAAAAATACAAAAATCTTATGCCAGTGTTAAATTTGAAAGAAATATTTATTAAATGAAATAAAAAGTAATAATATCACAGAATACAAAATTTACAAAACAAGCTTTCCCTTTGTGTGCCTAACACTTTTTTATCATTTCACCCCAAGCAAGGCAATAATATTACTAATATATGTGGTTACTGGGAGTGGAAGAGAATGAGAAAAATTTAGTAAGAAAGGACAATAAAAGAACAGGGATTAGGATAAGAGAAGATGGTGATTGTTATTGCATTTAAATTTT